CCAACAAAACAAGCTTATGTGCAGGAACATGCCCCTGATTAAAGAGTTTGAAGCTGTTTTAACTTAAATAAATCCTCAGATTTTATGAGAAAGACACACCAAAAGGTGGATTTCACCTTTCCATAACACTTTTATAACATCTTTTCCACATTGGCCTTACTGTATTTCACCTAAATAGAAATTAACAGCTTTTTAATCCCTCACAAATGTTTCTTAGGTAAGTGAAAGTAGCTTTAAAAAGTGACTCAGCTTTTGCTTTAGGCAAGCTTCCTTTTCTAGCTTCTTTCAATTAAAAACATCTGCTTTGGTAGTTTCTTAAGCAAAGCTGCTGATCTTAACGGTGGTCCGTGTGCTGAATGAAAGTAGTAGCTAACTGTTGACCCCCTGCAGGGATTTTTTACAAACCAAGAAACCAAAACGCGTGTGAAGTTATAGGGACAGCTGGTACTGATAACAAATCCCTTGTGATTCACTCACCTCCACAGAGGAGAGAACCAGACTCGCTTTAGGCTGATTCTAAGTGTGATTTAGTGAGGTGAAGCTGCCCCCTAGTGGTCAAAGTGTGCCGCTACAGCATTTGCTGAGCTAATTCGCTGTGTTTGGCTGTGCTTCTACCTGGACTGAGCTCCACTAAGTAAGGCAGTTTCTCAGGCGGCAGCGAGCCGTCCTTCCCTCGGAGGCCCTTCTCCTCCACCTTCCTTCCTTTCCTCCCCTGGTAGTCCGGAGGCCTCTTCTTCAGCTGGAACACCAACGCTCCTGACACACAAAAGCAATTAAAGGTAAGGCGGAGCGGCTTGTTTTACCCGTTTGTCTGAGCTCACATTGATTTTTTTTCTACTAGATTTTACACTCAAACAGTTAGCTAACAGCTAGCAAACAGTTAGCAAACTGTTAGCAAACAGTTAGCAAACAGTTAGCTCAAGAAAAACCCAAAGTAACAAAGTTGTAATGACTCTAATGAGGCAGAAGGGGGCGACAGCAGACACTAAAACAGCATAAAGAACAATCAGTCAGTTCTCCATCCTTCTGTTACAGCCCGTTTCCTCTTCAGGACCCGTCTGAGAAACTGGAAAAACTGAAGTCTGTTTACCCCGATCAGCAGGCCAGTCTCTGAAGATCTGCAGGGGACACTCCGCATCGTCCAGAATCACCTCCTTCCCCGACTTGTCGTCCTGCTGCGATTACAAAAACAGGCCTCAGATCAGTTCACCGAGCAGCTGGGAAAACTAACCTGCTGTAAGTTAAAACACCTGCCACTCGGAAGCATAAGAAACGTATAAAACAAGATCAGAATGTCCTGTTTTCGAAAGAAAAATCTTACACAAAAGATTTTTTAAAAACCTCTTAGGTGGCATGAGATGATAAATAATAGTTAATAATAGTTAATAATAATAATTATTATTATAATGATGTTTTGGTAGCCTTCTATTATTTTCTAATATTTTACTGAAATCATCCTGTTCAATCACAATTTAATACTCTAACTTCTAATTTAAAAAGAAAATCAGGAAATATGGCTGCAAATTCTGTATTCTGACTTGATTAATGTTGGCGTGTTAATATTAGCCATTAGCCGCAGCTAGCAATTCAAGGCTAACGTCACGTTAATGATAATAAACAACGTAAATAAATAATCAGAGAGAAGGGGGGGTGGGGTATGGATACTTTTGAAAATGAGTATCGTATCCGGATACAAAGTTTTAGTACTGATACTTCTTTGAGTATCTATCCTTTTGACAACCCTACTCTTTAGTGTGAAAGAGGGCGGGTTAGGAGGCGGACAGGTACCCGTGCGATGCAGTACTCTCTGGGGTTCTCCTTCTCCAGCCCGTACTTCTCCAGGGCCTCCACCACAGCGAAGTCCGCCGGGTCCCGGGTGGACAGCAGGATGGTCTTATACGGGATGTTGGGCCGCAGACTGTCTGCGTATATCCTCAGAGTTCCCCCTGCAGACCAACACAAACACAGGAGTTTATTTAATCGAGGGAAAAGCAGAGTCAGACGAAGAAAAATCGGGAGGTAAATCAAGCCTAAAACACCAGATAGTTTTAAAACCTGATATGTTGTTTAAAAACAATGAGGACGTCGGACTGGAAGCAGCCTGTATTAAACATTTCAAATTAAATGTTTTTAACATTTTCTGATTTGTTTCTGACTTCTGTCACTGTAGATGTGAGATCGGTTCAGGTCATTTCAAATGAGCGTACAACAGGACTTGTCTGATTTATGCACTTCTTTTTTAATTTTCTAATAAAGCTTTTGCTCTTTGAGATTAAGGTGCATTGTTTGGGTGACTTTGAGAGAAAATATAATTTGAATCCATCTTCAAATGAGGCCGTAACTCAAGAAAAGGCACCTGCTTCTGAACTGGAACAGACCTGGTGTCACAGTAATAACGGTCCCTGTGAAACAGGGCGACTACCGAGCAGAACTGGACCCAAATGGAGAGTTTTTTGTTGTTTTCTTTAAATAATAGAATCGTTTCAGACTCATTACTAAAGACTTAAAACTTCCAACACAAAAGATCAGAGAAACCAAAAAGAAGGAACCAAAATTGACATAAATTTGTATTAAAGTTCTGAGGAAATAATGAAATTAATCAAAATAAATAACTAATACCTTAATTAATAAAATGTAATGAAAAACTTAACAGATAAAAATCAGTCAAATTAAATAATAACAAATACGAAAGTTTCTTCTGGACTTCACACTATATGATTTTTTCTGTATTCATATTTGGTGGCATTTATTACCATTCTAACTATTTATTTTTCCATTTTTATAGTTTTCTATTTAACATATGACAAAAAAAAATTAAATAAAAAGCCTTGTATTTTAAAAACGTGTGTGGAATCATAAACCAAAACATAAATAATAATCCCTTAAAAAGAAGCAGCTGTGTTTACAAGCAACAAGACCAACGAGCTCTGAGACGTGGCTCAAACGGGCCTCTTTCCCCTCGTCCAGATGTGGCTCTACCGACAGTAAAAGTGAATTTACTGAGTCAGAGCGACGCAAACGGGACGCCGTCTGCTACAGTGGAAGCTTTAAAGTAAATATGGCGGGCAGAAAGAGGAATGATGCTCATTAAATGTAACTAATACAGCAACGGAGGGACAGCAGACTGGAACGGTGACGCGTCGACTGAAATCCACCCACAGCTAAACAAACAACCTTCTTTTTTTCTTTTCTTTTTCTCTTTTTTAAAGAGCACTTTCTGCTGGGAAGACGTCACCGTGTGACCACAAGCCGTCCCGAACCCGGCGGCCATGTGTGGACGGTGGTCAGAGCTGTTTTTAGAGCTGGTTCCCGGGTCCTTCTGCCTGTCTGGCAGAGTGATGAGGTCACAGCTGAGTCACACAAACGACCCGTCAGCGCTCCTTCAACACGTGCACGCGCCTGTCAGAGCGTGCAAACCAGTCTGACCTATGAATGCCGTATTTTCCGCACTATAAGGCGCCTAAAAGCCTTCAATTTTCTCAAAAACAGACAGTGCGCCATAAATATGGATCAGGACTGAGTCGCATCAGGTTTTACAACTACAGGAAGCAGCCGCTGTTAAAAAAAAAAGTGGAAATTAAAGGTAAACGTTGAATCTGATCCTAACTACGACAACGGGTAGTTCAAATATTTCTATACCGACGGTTTAGTTTTTTTTACGAGAAAAGCTAGTCAGCTTTATGCTAGCTGCTATATATTGTGATGTGTTAACGTTTGATTTACCGTAACGGCATCAGGCCGTTTCTTTTACGTGTTTACTGAATGGAGGACATTACCTCGGGAATAATAATAATAATAAAACAGCTGTTTATTCATTTTGGGGGTGAACGGAGTCGTCAAGACGCTGGTTTATGTTCTATTAATAAAGTCTGACTGATTATCGGACTGTTTTGTTGGCATTCTCTTTAGCTTAGCTGCATCTGGTGGATGCTAACGCAGCCCCAGCCTCTACTGGAGCTTTTCTTCTATGTGCCTTATAATGCAGTGCACCTTATATGTGGAAACAATTTTGACATAGACCGTTCATTGAAGGTGCGCCTTATAATCAGGTGCGCCTTATAGTGAAGAAAATACGGTAATTCAATCATTAAAAGAGCCCGCAAACTCAAGGGATGAGCCAGTCTTCCCCCTTCCTACGACAGAAAAATGAACCCTCGGCCTCAGAGGTTTATGGTGAAATCTCCGGTTTGGTTTTTGGAAAAGAGTCTCCATCTATGATCCTGAGAGGAAAAATGGCACCAGAACTACCTGAGTCGGGCCTTCCATCGCTGCTCATGAACTCCTGCATGCGCTTCTCCAGTTTCTGCTGGCGCCTCCTCTTCATCACCACCTCCGGGTTGGAGATGGTCCGGGTGAAGCTGGTCTCCGGCATGTCTTTGTAGACCTCTGCTGCCAGCCGATTGTTTTCACTAGATCGAGAAGAGACACAGAGATGTGTAAAGAAGAAGGAATCAGGAGGAAAAACAAGTTAAAGCTGCTCTGCTCTCTCTTGTGGACTCTCTGTGCTTCTCTTGGCAAACTGAATCCTGGGGAAGGACTCAGAAAACTGAGGGGCGGATGGCCGACTGACCCATCCTCTCGGCCCAGCGTCTGCTCGTCTCCGTCAGGAATCCGAGGATACTCCTTCTCCCTCTTCTTTTCCTTCTTCTTCTCCTTTTTCGACAGAGTCCTCTTGAAGTTCTGAATCACTCCATCCTTCTCCTTTTCCGGCCCGTTACTCTGACTCTTCTTGAAGAAAAGGAGGAAATGAGTCCAATTAGATAAATTAACCACAAAAATGGATGAAAAGTTTTTTTTAAATTGATGCTCCATTTGTATTAGTCATTTTAACTGACTAAAAATAGACTTTTTGTGTCAAACACTGATGTTTTTGGTAAATTGTTATTACAGACAGATAGATAAACTTTATCAATCCTAAATAAATTTCACTAAATTGCATCTTTTCCTTTCATTGATGTCATGGTCTGATGTGTCCGACAGCCCATAAAACCTTCAGTGTGTTAACTCCTCAGGCCTGGGATGCCAAGATGACTTTTGGATGGCTGAACCAGCTTTTCTCTCCCTCCTAACAGGATTTGTTCCATTCTGGCAGAACGACAGAAGGTCTGCTCAACAAATCGAGGAGACCTCAACCTAACGTGGTCTGAACTTGGCTTGTCCCGATCCGATATTTGGATCGGATCGGCTGCCGATGAATTTGCAGATCCAGACTCCAGATCCAGTTTTTTTTTAGAGTCCGATCCCACACGAGCATTAGCATTAGCATTAGCATCTCCTAACCCACAGGTCTGTGTCCTAACCATTAAGTTGTTATCAGAGTAAATCCCTGTTCAACATGAGTCTGACAACTAAGTAAGCAGATAAATAACTTTAAACTTTAGTAATGCTCTGATAGGCTGGGATCGGATCGGAAGAGCAAAAAGCTGGATCGGGACATCCCTAGCGACTGACCTTTGGCAGGATGTCGTTCTCGTTCTTCAGGACGAAGCGGCCCTCTCTGTCGTCCTTGTTCCAGTTCAGCTGAACAACGAGGGGCTTCTCGTCCAGATCCAGCTGACGCTCTTCTAACACACAGACAGAGACGCCAGTTCACTTCCAGGTAGGGCTGTCACGATACTAAAACGTTAAACTCGATTCCGATACTCAGGAAAATATTCGATAGTCGATACCATTTTCGATACCACGAGGATAAAAACAAAGACCCCAAAATTTAACTGAACTTTGACAGGTTAGTGTCTTTGGTTTCAAACTGACCTGTTACTGATGTTAGGGTTAGGGTTAGGGTTAGGGCACATTAATTACCCTAACCCTAACCCTGACCCTAACCCTAAACCTCCAGCTTTCATAATTGTGAGAAATAAATATTTGGTTAAACTTGTTTGGACTTATTGTACAAACCTATTTCATATCCACTATTTTAACATAATATTATCTATAGAGTTTAATTAAGTGTTTGCAAGATTCATGTCACTATTCTTAAATTAATGTCTATATTGCCATGAAGCAATTAGGATTTTCTTGCCTGGGATCTTCCTATTGGTGACCTAATTAAAATGGCCGACTTGGATGTGGGGGAGTTGGATATCCATCCTTGGCTTCCTTCAGTCTTGATTAATGTTGGCGTGTTATTATTAGCCATTAGCCGCAGCTAACGATTCAAGGCTAACGTCACGTTAATGATCATAAACAACGTAAATAAATAAATAAATAAATCAGAGAGAAAGGGGCGCAAAGGGGGGGGTATGGATACTTTAAAAAATGAGTATCGTATCCAGACACAGCGTTTTAGTTTCAATGCTTTTTTGAGTATCGATACCTTTGACAACCCTACTTCTGGAGCCGGCTGATGGCTGGAAAAGCCTCTAAAAGGGGAGAGAGGGACTCACCGCCGCTGACGTGCACCTCGTACAGCGAGTATTTGGGCGAGGAGAGCATCCTCATGTCCGGCCTGAACTTCTCGGCGAGCGTCTCGATGACGTCCTGCGTGGTCGCCGTGCTGGAGACTCTGATGCACTTCGTGGCAAAGTTACCGGCGACCCGGTCCTGGAAGTAGAACCGCATCACGCCGTGGAACTCCAGGTCCTTTAGGGGAAACAGAGGGAGGCAGGGAGTCAGGCATCTCCTCATGAAACAATAAAACACTGACAATAATCTTCGTTTTTTTATAAAAGGCAGCGCGGGGGCCTCGCTGGAAACACTTTTTCAAACACTCACACCAGTAGGGTCGTCACGATACTAAAATGTTCAACTGGATACCGATACTCAGGAAAATACTCAATACTCGATACCATTTTCGATACCACAAGGATAAAAACAAAGACCCCAATATTTAACTGAATTTTGACAGTTTGTTAGTTTTTTTTGTTTGAAACTGACCTGTTACTGATGTTGTCGTGGCCCACATTAATGACCCTAACCCTAACCCTCCACCCTTCATAATTTTTTGGTTAAACTTGTTTGGACTTATTGTACAAACCTATTTAACATACACTATTTTAACATAATATTATATATGGAATTTAATTAAGTGTTTGAAAGAATAATTACACCATTTTTTTAAATATTGTCTATATTGCCATGAAGCAATTAGGATTTTCTTGCCTGGGATCTTCCTATTGGTGACCATTCAAAATGGCCGACTTGGATGTGGGTGGAGTTGGATATGTACTTGATTAATGTTGGCATGTTGTTATTAGCCATTAGCCGCAGCTAGCAATTCAAGGCTAACGTCACGTTAATGATCATAAACAACGTAAATTAACTCATTGACTGCCAGTCATTTTCAGAACAGAGAGTCGCTCACTGCCAGAGTTTTTTGAGAATTTTGACTGATTTTTCAAGAGCCACAGAATAGTTTGTGCTATGACTATGTAAACACCGAACACACCAAAAGAAAGAGTAGACTCTTTTCTTTCATCAGGAAAAAAGATTTTGTTTCTACCTCATTCCGTTCTTCTTCGACGTGCGTCTCACCGGCGCCATTTCTCTCATAGTGAACTATTGCGTTTGTTTTTATTTGCTTACAATCTATGCTAATCTCCCATCAAAGGTGGCACAGCTACCTAGAGGGTAAATTTGTTAGTCCATACTCTGTCTAGAAGCCGATATTTACGGGAAAACTTTCGCCGATCGTCCCCCAAGCCACTCGCATTGAAAAACATAAAAGACGTCTATAGACGTCTTTGGCAGCGAATGAGTTAATACATAAATAAATCAGAGAGAACATGGGTGGTATCGATACTTTTGAAAATGAGTATCGTATCCGGATACAACATTTTAGTATCCATACTTTATTGAGTATCGATACTTTTGACAACCTTACATAACATTGAAAACACATCAGAACTCTGCAGCTTGGCTTTAAACTGGTGGGAGGGGAATTACAGAGCTGAGAGGGAGCGTCTGCAGCCCAGATGTTGAACTGCTGGATGCCAGTTCATGTTTTTACAGAGTTTACCTGCAGACAAACGGCAGCTAAACCAGCTGAAGACAATCACTGAACTCCAGAAAACCGTCCTCTGAGAACCTATCACGATAACTCATCTTTAATTATGACAAATAAGACCAGGGAGCATCCAGGGTTTTAGAAAAAAGTACTCCTGAACTGTAAGAAAGTCCTAAATCCACCACAGATGTCACCTTTATCAAAAATTTAAAAGGATTCATCCAGTTCTGAAGGACACAAACTCATTTAAAGGCATCACAGCAACATCCGACTGTCATCCAGATGAATGTAAAAATACCAGATTTCCCGGCTAGAAGTCACAATTATTTAGAACCGGACGTTTAATCCAGATAAGTGAGTTACTGAAACACACAATAGTGCACAGAGGAACATGATGAAAAGGCGTCCGGTGTGTCAACACAACACATTAACAGTTGTTCAGCTACACAATAGCATAAAGAACCGGGACTGAATCGGCCAAAATAACACAAAAAGCAAGTCCAACAAGCAGGTTCACCAAGTGGTAAACAAGTGTTACCCGACTAAAAGCTGCAGGACCAGCAAAACTAAGAAGACACGATATGTGACCAAGATCGGAGGAGGAAATTAAATTCCCCATTTCCTGTTGATTGCCCCCATAAAACCGATACAATACAACTTTATACAATAAAAAATATATATATTATGGGTGGGACAGTTCACAAAATCCACGGTTCGGTTCGATTCACGGTTTTGTGGTCACGGTTTTCGGTTCGGTATATGTTGATTGTAAGGAAAATCTATTATGTCTTGTATAGTCAGGTTAAAACTGAAAGAAAAAAGCAATCTGACATTTGATACATTATTGTGACAGTCTTAGGTTAAAAGTAGGTGAGATTCTGGCATTGAAAGAGAGGAAACAGTGCTAATTCCAACATGTGCTTCCCTCTAAATGCAAAGTGTCCCATACAGCAGACCTAGAAACTGCTGTTGGCGCGTCGGATTTTTATCGGCTACGCTGCTTCTCTACTTCTTCTTGTTCACTACAAGAAAGTCTCTTTCAGGCCCGCAGGGGGGTTAAAATCAAACTTTCTCAGGACGTTTGACTCGTTCTAAACTCTAAACTGACGACTCGGAGCAGAGTGGAAGCAGCGGCACAGTTTCGACAGGCAGCCGGGGTGGAGTCGGGAATGTGTGTGTGTGTGTGTGTGTGTGTGTGTGTGTGTGTTGTGATTTACTGCTGGAATGTGGGTCATCAGAGGGGGCTGGGGTTTGCGTAACCGTTGGTAACCGTAACCGTGGAGACGCTGGTGGGTTAAAACAAAAGCCCGGCCGAGGCCCCGAACAACAATAGCTACCTGCTCGCCACCGGGGAAGGGCCAAGTGCAAACTGGGATAGTTCAAGTCCAACCGGGAAGAAAACCTCTGATCTGAGCTGCTGTTTTGAAGTAAGATCAAAGGAATGTGGCAGTTACATATAAAGTACACGTATAAAGGGATTATTCTCTGATTTATATCTCAAATCAGAGAAGAAATGAGATCTAATGTTCACTTAAAAAGGCTGGATCTGCCCAATCTAAGAACTAAAAGGCCTGAAACAGTTTAAGGACGCAAGCTCTGCGGTTTTTTAATGAGAACTAATGAAATCTTAAGCTTGCATGTCAAAAGCTGCAGCAGAATTAGTTCATTAAAACGCCCCGAAGTGCAGATGGAGCCCCGATCTGAAACGGGCTGACCTCAGTCTGCTAACTCAGCGTGCCATTTTTGAAGATGTTTCAGTCTGAAAACACTAAAAAGCAAGCTAGCATCTCTTGGAAGTTGAGTCACGTCCTAAAATATTTACAACTCGAGAGAAAAGCTCCACCTTACAGAGGCTCACTGGCTTTCAAACAGACACCAAATCTCAACTTTACAAAACCTGGGAGCATCAGTTTTAATGATATCACAGAAATTGCTTAAACTAATCCCAGTTTAACACACATCTCTACATCTAAGGTGAGTAAATGAAGCAATTAAGTGGAAAACTAGAAACCGGATTGCAGATATGAGGGGAAAAAAGCCCTGAGCAGACCTCTGAAAGCAGGAAAAAATGAAGAATAAACTTGTGTGCTTGTGAGACAGGACTATTTATGACCCACACAAAGTAGGCCAGCTCTGCAGATAGCTGTTATCAGTCCGCTGGACGCTAATAAACGAGGGGGCACATTTCTTTGCAGATACCATCCGCTGTGACATAATGTCATAGAAAAAGTTACGTAACGCTCCTTCTGAGAGGATAAATGTCACACGTGTGAAAGGAGGAGAATTTGCTCACAACTAAGACTCAAAAAGTGCCATCAAGGATTATTCCAGGGTTCGGTTTCAGTCTGAATTTGGGGTAAAACGGGAGAGAAGTCGACATAGCAGAGATAAGAATCTGTTAAAGGAGCTCAATGAGCTTTCAAAGACAAAAAAAGAGTTCATTTTGGGACAGACTAAAGTATCTGGTCACAACTATCTAAAGCTGTAAAGCTTAAACGAAAAGGAGATTAAAAAACTCAAATAAAATCGGACATTATGCTTAAAAATCCTGCACTGCATACAAAACGTTCATTTCTTTTTTGGTCCTCGTTGGGATTTTTGTGTTTATGTCGCCCGGATTCAGAATTAAATGGTCCAAATTATGTGTTTAACTTTTACTATTTGCAACAGCAACACAAAAAGTCCAGTTTATGCCCCAACTTTTTGTCTCTTTCACTCAACTCAAGAATGAAACAAAAACAATCCCAAACATAAATAGATCAGCTATGAAACTGCCTGAGAGAGAAACCTACAGAAGAGATGACCCAGACTTTCAGATCCGCCCATCAGGCTGCCTGACAAACACCTCGGGGTCAAAGGTCACGGAGAGAAGAGCCGAAGGGTCACGTCTGTGTTTGTGTGAGAAAGTGAGTTCACTTCTCTCTGTGGCCGTAAAGTCCAGGACATGATGGGTCAGGCTTTAACCGGATAATAAATAAACAATAAACCTGCTCATTTTACAGCAGATTGACATTAACTTCATGAGTATTTTCAGAAAAATGAAGAAGAAGAACATGAAAAAGAAGAAACTGTCATTCATTTGCAGTTAATTCTTGATCACTTTACGAAATGGTCACAATTCTTAAAATTACAGATCATGCCCTCAAGAGGCTTCAGTCAGACAAAAAGATCACTAGAAAAAGAATAAAATAGAAAAATTAACTCCAACTAAAGGAAGATAAAAGTACAAACGTGTTTTTTGCCCCCAAAATGCACTTGATGAGCTGTAAGGGCAACTTAACCAGCTCTGAATCAATGAGATGACAGAAAACTCTCTCAAACAAAGACAAAGTTATCATAATTGGCTACAGAATTATTCATCAATCTAACTATTTTTCCAGCAACAGCAGAAACTAAAGAGCTTTGAACCCTGAAACTGCTAGAAACGCTGAATTCAGGTGTCTATAACAGCCTGTTTGTTCATTCTGCATGAGGCAAAATGCATCAGGAAATCAAAGTTAAGCCTCGTTATGAAGAAGAGGCGCCCTGAGGAGATTAGCTATGTGGATATCTTAAGAGTTAATCATTAAAGGAAACAAAGAGCTACAGAAACCCGCAGATCCCGGTAGGATATTGCTCCAAATTCTCCAAGAATCCTCGGATATTCCCTCCCATGCAGAAAGCCAGGCTTTAAGTAACCTTA